TGCTGCTCTTTGGAGTCCCTGGAGTTCTTGCTTTGCTGGAGAATTTGAGGAGATCAGTATTTCAATCTAACTCATCAGGACACTGTTACACCTTCATTATATTTTCAGTGCAGCTTGCTTCAACCAAGTGCTTGCTGTCTGAAGTAATTATATTGCCATGTCTTGAATAATTCCCGAGGTAATGTGGGTAGAAAGGAGAAACTGGTCAGGCAAATTCCTCAAAGTTCCTTTGTATCCTGCTTCTGAGGGCTGTGACTCTCTGAAAATATTGCGCTTGAGTTTGGGATAAAATTACAAATGCTTTTTACTTAGCACATTAGTTGCTGTAGTGAATATGCTATAGGGAGCCTCACAAATGTCTTTTAAGAGTGAACTCAGAGCACTGACTGAAAACAACCTGCATCCAGTGTCTGGCAGGGAGGTTTGCAATGCCAAGATTAGGGCTGTAGGATTACCTATAAATTGAGAGTACTGCTAAAAAAAAAAAAAAAACCAAACCAAGAAATGTGTCCAGACTGTCTGGATAGACTGTAAGCACTGAACTGGTGAAGAATCCAGATTCTCAAGGGATATCCTTGGTAGAAATAGCACTCCACTTGCAGAAAACATTAGCTAGGAACATGACCTGGCCAGGTAATATCACTTTGCTGGGAAGCCTGTCAGTTTTTCAGATCAAATCAACGTTTATGGGCCAAATATCCTGTCTGAGAGGTGTGGTTATCACCTCCTTGGTGCACTGAAAGGGTGAAAATTAGCAATGGAAATAGGATTTCAAGGAGCCAGGGTAAGCTTGTACAAAAGCAGTAGCTGCCAGGGTTGCTAGAAGCTGGGTTTAACCATTGTGCTTTATAGTGACAATGCTTGTGTCACTTCTTAATTAACTTGAACAAGAACACTTCAGATTTTACTGTCAGGTGAATTGCACAAGCGTCTGGTACCTCTGTGGCATGGAGAACAGAACATTAGCTATGCAAGTTGACGGAACAGCAAAAAGTAATGACCGGACAAGGCAAAATAAACCGTTCTGTTTAAAAACGAATCTGTGCACTTAGAGCTATGAGCGAATCGGGGAGCAAAAGCACGGCTTGCAATGTATGGTCCAGCTTGACTTGGTGTGAGGCCACCTACTTCCCTCTGCTGGCTGGAATTTGATCTATGCATGTGTATCCATATGCACATAGGAAAAGATGCATCCTGCCAAGCAGGGAACTTGTTTTATAGAGGCTGAGATTCCTAAATGCTGACGGTTAGGGCCCAGGCCATAGAAGCAGAAGAACCTGTTTTCATTCCTATTGTTAGCGAAGCCTATGCAGTCATGACAGTGTAATGCTGTCCAGTGATCTTATAGGAGGAAAGCGAATTGTTCTTTCGGACCCACATACTAGGGAGTAGCTATTTCGTAGGTAACTCTTTCACAAATAACAAGAAAGTTAAGCCGTGTATAGCTGAGTTGGTGAAGCATGATCACCTCAGCTCAAGCTCTTGGTCTTTAGCCCTCCTCTGGAGTAATCCTAGTAGAGGTAGAGAGGATTCTGTTCTTCTGATCCAGTTTATCCTCTTTTTCTCTTCAAACCCTGCCAGGAGGCAAGACAACCAGTACCAGTCATACTGGCAGCCAAGGTATGCACTTTGGGTGCACTTGCAAAGTGCACTTTGGGTTTCTTTATAGTGATTTGTACCACATGAGCTGTTTTCTCTTCTTCCTCGGCTTGCTTTCATTCTCTCTTGCAGCTGGTTTTGAACAGTTATTCCACAGTTCCATGAAAAGGAGCAGAAATTTTGGCCAAGGAGCAAGCCCCTGGTGCCTGTGCAGAACAGGCAGGTGCTGATTATTTGGAAATCAACAGTGGAATTGTTCCCACTTGTATCTGAACCTGCATTTAAGGGGATGAATAGATAGTACAAAGCTGATGTTAAAGCTGTTCTTGAAAGGAGCATCCTACCTTCAACTCTGCGAAGGACCAGCCAGATGCCAGTAGAGCTGTGCTTTGGCTGTGTGCCTGACGTTACAGTGGTATGTTTCTGGGAAGGTGTTGGTATAGCAGGTAACTCTCAGGACTGTCTGCACTGTGAAGTGTTATCCTTTGTTTACAGTGCAGGAATTATAGTGGATGCCAAATGTGGGCTGGAGCTCTCCAGAGACAGCCAGTGATGGATTCACTGTGTTTTAGAGCAGGTAATGATAGTTGCTTGTCTTTGTCTCCAAGGTACTCTCTTTCTCTGGGTATTCTGGCCAAGCTTCAATTCTGTACAAGCTGGGAATGACAAGAACAAAGCAATCTGCAACACCTACTTTGCCCTTGCAGTGAGTGCTGTAATGGCCTTCACATTGTCTGTTCTGACCACAAAGGATGGAAAATTCAGAATGGTAAGACACGAGGGAAAATCACTGCGTGGAGAAGATCTTTTTCTGTTACTCTCAGTAATACACTGAAAGTATAATGGCTATTAAGTAAAAACAAGGCCAGGTTTTCAGCCTGACAGTCATCATTAGCCTCCCAAGCAGAACGCTGGAGCTGTAACTTAGAAATTATGTTCTCAGATTGTCATTTACAGTATACAGAGGCCCAAATTCACCCTAAAGAGATCGCACCTGCATGAGAATAGCAATCTATGATATTGGGCTGCTACAAGTGATGACTGAATTCTCACTCTATGTTTTTGTTGTTTTATTTTACAGACTGATATCCACAGTGCGGTGCTAGCTGGTGGGGTCACTGTTGGTCATGCAGCATGCAGTATCAACTATCCTTGGATTGCAATGATTTTGGGTCTGCTTGCCAGTGTGATAGCCATATTAGGATCTTACTGTTCACAGGTAATACTCAAAACCTGAAATTCTTTTTTGTGTAAGCTGTATAAAATTATTTTCCAATGTAGGATACCTCAAGGGAAACCTCTCTTCCAAAGAGATTAAAGCTAGGAAACCTGAAGTCTTTTGAGCAAAGCGCAGGATTGCAACTTGCAAGACCAAAGTTCATTTTTTAGGTCTGCGATAAGACTGTATGTTGTTATCAACTTGTGTTTTGGTGTATCACTTAAACCTTTTCTTCTTCCCAGAGATGCTTGAATCCTGCTCTCAAGATTCATGACACCTCTGGAATTCATTTCACTTTTGGCTTGCCTGGTGTGCTTGGAGCTCTTGCCCACATTGTTCTCTTAATAATAAAAAACTGGACTGACTTCCCAAGGTACATAAATTCTTACTATTAAGTAATAAGCTTAGCTAATCATTATTGTAGTATGCCTTGAGAAGAGTTCTTATACATACAGGAAGCCTGAACAGCATCACAGATAAATAGTTTTATACCAGATAACCTAAGATAATCTCTGAAGTCCAAAAAAGTAGGTAAAAAAAGACTTTCAGAGTTGAGCAGACTTTGGATCAAAACTTAATATTAGCTTTTGATCCTGCTTTCTGTCTCTGTTTTTATTTGATATTAAACACAGCAGACATAGGAGATGAAGGCTGGGGATGTGCATCCTTCCAACACTCATTTTGGCTTTTGTGGTGTGTTTTGGGAGCTTTGTATGCTAATACGGGGGGGGGGCAGAAACAGCATTTCTCTTCGAATGAGGGTTTAACTCCGAGTCAGGGACAAGAATGCCAGTTTGGACTAAAGCCAGTCTGGAGACTGAACTGGAAAATATACTTGGGGAGACACCCTGCAAAAGCTGGAGGGCTCAGTTAAGGATATTCTCCATAGGTTGTTTTGATCTGGCACTGGCATCTCATTTTTTGCAAATCAAGCTCATGTTGTGTCATACAAGAAGTTCTCTGATTTTCTCAACTTAGGCAGGAATGAGTCACAGTGCAGCATAAGGGCCTTACATGTCTCGTCATATTCTTACTGAAACAAACAAATTTAATGAAGTTTTAGTACCACAGTGATGGTTTCTCAGGGCAAAATGTGTACTTTGCAGTCTGTATTAGGCTTCTGATAGGATCTCTTGACACGTCTGATGCAGCAGCAGACTCAAGAATTACAGAATTTTCATGAGAGGTTTTGATGTAGAATGCTGTGTAGATACAGATTCATTCACAGTCTTAATGCTAAATTGAGTAACTGTAAAAGGTGAAACACTTGTTTTGCTTTTCAGAGTGGGTTATTTGGTCCTGGTTCACTTGGGTGCCTTCTGCCTGACCATCAGTGTTGCCTTGGTAATAGGTTTTATTACAGGTCAGTATTGAAAACTACGTTTCAGTAATCTCTTCCTCTTTTGTATGTCATCTTGTTGCACTTGCTATCATGCCAGTGCAACCCTTTGCAGAAAGAGGCCAGTTTAACTGGGGCTCTGAAGTGTGTTTCTGTGAATAAATTATTTGTAGAAGAAGCCATGGGAAACATGAATGCCAGGGAGTCTTCAAAGCCAGTCTTTTGAAGAAGTGACCTATTCAACATAAATAACCTAGTAGCACCATTCTTTCATTGGTGAAGTTTATTTTAACAGATGCTTAACAGCTGCCTTCGAATTTCAGACAGGAGATGTGCGAGGATGAAAATAGTTTTACATTTGGGTATTGTCTTAGTGACGGAAAAATGCTATCTAGAGCTTCTCACTTTTTAGGCCAGTTGGTATAAATCTGCGAAGTTTCACTAACGTCAGTAGCTCGCTTGCATCAGCCAAGCGCTAGGCCTTTGATCACTAGTGGTTTGGGATCATCAGGACTCACGTGCTTCTCTTGTGACATTCTGTCTGGTTTATGGCAGCTGCAGTTTTTCTATAGCTGTTAATTCTGTCTTGAATAAAAGAGAAATGGCAGATGAAAACTGCTGTGAAATAGACTCCAGAATGATTTTTTTTTTTTTTTTGGTGCTATAATTGATCTGAAACCTTTGCATTACCTGAAGTGTAATTAAAAAGCTGAGCTAATCAAGCAGATTTTTAAAAAACATTCTAAAATAATCAAGCATTCAGTGTTTAACCAATTGTTTTAAAATCTAGATGTTTCCATCTGAAATCCCAAGCTACCAGTGCTGTTAAGCCTCATTGCTTTAAATGCACAGGCATTTTTCATGCAAGAAGTTGATAATTTTTGATGTATTTTTAGAGTCTGGCAGGCTGTTTAATGGAGTTTTACCTAGATGTCATGGTTTAGCCCCAGCCAGCAACTAAGCACCACGCAGCCGCTCGCTCACTCCCCCTACCCCGATGGGATGGGGGAGAGAATCGGAGGAGTAAGAGTGAGAAACACTCCTGGGGTGAGATAAGAACAGTTTAGTAATTGAAATAAAGTAAAATAGTAATGCTAATAGTAACAGTATAATAATGATAATAATAATGATACATGAAGCAAGTGATGCCCAATGCAATTGCTCACCACCCGCCGACCGATACCCAGACAGTTCCTGAGCAGCGATCGCTGCTCCCTGGCCACCCCCCCCCCCCCCCACCCCCCACA